CGCAGATTTCTTCATATTGAAGCAAAAAATTAAAACCTCCCGCAAATGACGAGAATTTGGCTCGTAAACTGACATTTTCAATCGAGAATAACTTTATGATGCAGACACAAATCGACTAATGTTTCTATGAGGTTATGTTGACAGATGCCCAAGTTTATTGTATGACGTCTATGATCTATTTATTTCGCCCACCACTTACCGCTAAAGCCATCTATAGGAAAATGGCGGAAGCAAAGTTGTACACCTAATAGTTTATTTCTTATAAATATAGTAAATAATATTTAATAAATTAAGCATCTTTGATAGATGCGGCATATATACCGGAGTTACCTTATTGACACATCACTACATATAGAATAGTATGTAGTACATCGATATTTCACGTATACACACACACACATAAATTTTCGTAATAATAACGTTTTAATTAGACGTCTAAATCTAATTCTATGAACTCTACGTTATTTCTTTGTGCAAATTATTAGTCTGTGGACTACTATTCGTAAGTACAGATGGCACAGCTTTTATATGACAGTTCCAAAGCATGTCATATTGGATTAACAATAAGAAATAGTAAAGATCTCAATTTAAACAATTTTTTTCATTCTTGACTTGTAAACTGCACCTCACAGGCACGTATTAATGTGTATAATTAAGTAATCGAATATATATAATTTTATATATTTATACATATTTGTATATAATGTTAAATGGTTGCATATGTGATTAGATATCATAAAAAATTTTTTACCGGAATATTTTGTAATGTCATTCTGATAAAAGATTTTTCATATATTTCATATAATCATTCGTTATTATTTAAGCAAAAGTTTAAATAACAATATATGCAATTGATTGATATTTAATAAATATTTAATGAATCATAAAATGTGCAAGCATATGTGTGCACAAGTATTTTATAAGCTCAAAGTCATAGTAGTTATTTTTCATAATTTTTAAAAATCAAATTTATTTTTTTAAATTGTTGCAACATTAAATGTTGCATGCTTACATTTAAACAATATTTTTGAAACAATACATTACAATATGCAACCCAATCAGAAATAGTTCTTCGAAAAAACATCGTTACGATGAAAAAATTGTCGATTCGAAACTTGCATTAAAATTTCAACATTTCAACGAGTGACAAAAAATTACATATGTAGAGAGTGCAATGAGAGTTTGATACATTTTAAATATTTTTGGTATAAATTTGTGATACGCTTACTTATCTTATTTTGAATATTTTCGTTCAAAAGTCGAATCGATATTTTTTTCGATTTCATTTCGACAATTGCTATATCACTCTAACAATAAAAGCTTTCTCAAAATTTTTGAGAATTTATAAATAATTTTGTAACTTTTTGAAAATTGTGGAATTTTTTTTTATTAATCGAACGGAACATTTTTTACAATTGTCGATAAGATCTACATCTTTTCTTCTAATAATTCTTTGTATCTTATTTTATTGTTCTACTCTTGCTGAATAACATTACTTTTATTTGAACTTTGTAGTTTATTTAATATAACCTTATTATATCATTTTTGTATTGAGGAATTTCAGGAATAATGTCTCTTATAAAGCACGAAATCAAGGAAGAATATCATCGA